GCTCTTAGCTTATAGCTCATAGCGTGATGTGACAGATGCTGCCACATGATCTGTCTGCACTATACCACACACGACCTTGCGTTACCTCTCGGCAGCTTCGTGGTTTGTGGCTAGATTGGTACCCTAGCCACTCACTCCCATGAAAACATAGCTAAGCCGAACTTCAGCGGTGACACCCACTTCTTCCTCGTTGTATTGCTGCGTAACCATGACCATCAGGCTTTCCAAGCAGCGGAAGAGATTCACTTCATCTTCTGCGACCTCGCTCCGACGACGCAGTGCTTTCACAGCGTCCACTAATCGTGGAGTATCTTCGTCCCTCAAAGGTGAAAGACAGAGCCTCCGTATGAGATTGGCATCTTTGTGGTCTGCCTCACTGTTGCCCGCCATGGGTGGATAGTCCAGTAGCTCCGATCTTGTGCTGTCCAGCTTCTTGATCCGAGCTTGCGTCAATTCTGCTTGATCCCTTGCAGTTGACCCCATGTACAGCGCCAGCGGGTGGACGGGATGAGATTCGTACGTGATGATGAGCTGCGACGAATCCAGCCCGAACGTCGCGTAACTGATACGAATGGTATGTTCCGGTCGGGGTTCTGTCCTTGCAACGCCCTTCGCGATGGTCTTTCGACCAATGTGTTCTCTCGGGGACGAGCACGTCGCGGGCCATGGAAACCGCTTGCGGGAGTTCTCTTTCGGTCTCCTCTCTCACGGTGTGCATTCTTGCGCATCAGCGGCGACGAAAGCTCATCGTCGCTAATGGGATCACTGTCTTCTGCCATTGAGCTCGCGGCTTGCGGCGCAGCATTGGGAGTGCTGACGCGGTCCGCGGCTGGTACTTCGTCTGTCGCGTCAGTGAGAGATAGTTCTAGTCCCTTCCCCAGTGCCACCTCGATCTGCGAAAGATCCGAGGTCAGTGATTCCGGCATTTGAAGCAGAGTCACGTCTTGTAGTGGTGACGGCGATGGTGCCACAGGGACCCCTGTTTGATCCGGATCACCGCTATGGAGCATTTTCGGACGAGGAGTCTCACTTCTGTCAGCCAAGGACGAAATTGGCGACATCGCATCTGGTAAATCAAGTGGCGACGGCTTTTCAGCCATGTCAGTGTCACGTGAGGCTGGCACGTTAGGGCTGATCTTCCTTTGCGCGATAGCAGAGGCAGAAGGCAATGGTGCATCGAGACCTTCGACTAAAGGCATGGCATTCCGATCGGGCTCAGACAGCTCTGTTGACACTTCTGTGTCTACTTCATCCTGTGCTCGAGCCAGCAGGTCGGGCGTTGACAGCACATCTTGCGAATAGGAAGGAGGTGTGGGAGAGTGTGCGCTCTCATCCGGAATCCTCTTTGCCCCTGGGGTTTCTGCAAGCGAGGCGGGAGAGATTACAGAAGCTGTTTGGGCTGGCTCAGCATGTGGTTGAAGAGGTGTGGTAGGATTAGTCAAAGCATCTGGGTCCCACTCGCGCGCGCCAACGGGCTCGCCAGTCAGAATGGCTTCCCCAAGTGTCTCGGTGATAGCCCCGGCTTCACTCGACACATTGGAGGTGGCTTCACCCGAGACGTCCTCAAGAGATCCTTCGAGAGCGATGTCAGGGACGAACGGGGCTGTGTCATGGCTTTTTGAGGAGACTGCTTCTGGAAGTTCGTTGGCGGCAGCAGCAACAGATGTTTCGATCGTCGTCTCGTCGCGAGCCTTTGGCAGGCTTCGTGGGACTTGTTCATCATCATACGACCCAGCTGTTGAGGCCAACACTGTTGCATCAGTCAAGCGTTGTGATGATGTAGGAGGTGGGGAAGCGTCAGCACCGAGAGTGACCAAGTTGTCCTGGTTATCCCTACAGAGCTCATTCGCAGAGTTGTCCGCTACAATCTTCTGTGTCGCGCAGGACGGTAAGTCACAAGTGCTGGCAGAATCAGGTACTTCAGGACTTGTAGAACGGCGACGTTCCCCAACATTAGCGATTTGAGGGTTTTCGAAGTACGAATCTGGGCCAACACTCAACCCCGCAACGCCGTGGCCATTTTCAGAGCAGGTTTGAGAAGAATCCTGAGCGGTGTGTGTAACGATTGTCACCTCGAGCCCAGCTCTAGCGCATTCTGGTATGCGCGGTGTTCTTGACATCCACGTCGACGCAGGGGGTGTCATCTTTTCTATCGTCGGGAACGAATCGACATCCATGTCCTCTCCTTCGAAAGTTGGGCGCGTGAGTCGTGAGCTGCAGCTTAACTCGTGTATCTGTTTGAAATTAGCTGGGAATTAGCGTGTGCCATGGTCTAGACATTGGCTGGCAGCCCAAATGCTAGGTAGAAGTATTCACCTCTCGTTTAAGTGATTCGTTCTCGGCACGCAGTCAGGCGTTGTATTCGGACACACAGGTGAGTTCTGATCGGGCTGCATCCCTGAGACTCATGTCAGATCTCGTACGGGCAGGTACTGAAGTGTAGAGCAGTGCCTCTCGTGTGTTAGGATTGCTTCTCGACCCTCGGAGTCTGCTAGCCTTTTCGCCACTTCTTATAGGTGTCTCCGAAGAGCTTCATTCTCCTGCAACACCGAGTCAGATTCGAGCCCTATACACTGATCGCTCATGCTGTGAGTCGATATAGCCATTGCTCGAAACCACAAGCTCATTCATGAGAGTGCAAGAAGACGCCAGGCCTGGGGAGAGTTATCGCCTTGCATATATGAAGGCCGGCATCTAGGAGCAAGGACAGGTCATCACAGTACTTGCACAATGCATTGATTGGCAGTGAGGGCCTACACGCATCAAGCTCCGGCCTGCTGTCCCACGAACAGGCTTAATCCTTCCTGCAAGGGACGTACTGGTCTGAGCTAAAGAAGTAGAATGAACGAATGACTATGTCCATAAATAGATGTGAGTCATGCAGCTTCGACGTATATAGCTTAGCTGCTCGATTCTCAGCGCATTTCAGAGCACTAAACCGTTCACGGCCAAATCTCAATAAACGTACGAAGAATTTATAGCTTCTTATGAATCTGTTTGCGAGGCTGTTCTCTGGATCCCGGGAT